TATCCGTATGCTTTGGAGACTCGAATGCAACCAATGGTTACCTGTTGCTGAGAAGGCTCTCTCTAATATCGAGGCTTCAGGCAACGATATGTTCGTGTTCGGCATCAGTGAGGGTGACGTTGTTGTTTTCGATCCGGAGAGTTACAATGCTTATCGTACAATAGCTCTGGCGGATCCTTCTAAGGAATACACGGGAGTCACCTTTGATCAAGACTCGAATATTCTATATGTTACTGAGAAGGCTACTGGGCGGATTGCTCGGTTCATAGGTCAGGGGGGAGTGTGGACTCCAATTGACCCCTTGAATGGTTCGGATGTTCTCATCGAGCCCACTATTTTGCGCTTCGCACTCGGTAAACTTTACGTTAGAGTGAATGGTGGCGTTGCCTATGCTACAATGGACGGGTCTGTGAATCCTCAGTGGTCTTTCGTTCCACTGGATATTCAAGGTGACCAGAGCTTCACTGCTGCTCCAGACGGTTTCCTCTACTACCGTAAGGCTATCGACTCCGTCTATCGTCTTCCATTGGATAATCTGATCGGCGCGGGTGAACTTTACGCTGGTGGATGCGGCTGTGGTCTGGCGCCAAATCAAGTGTGTACCTCGGGCAACGGCAATCTCGTGAACTTCAATCCCACTGGTGGCGTTGTCATGCAAGACTACTCCGAAGGACCTGACTTCCGCTTTCTTAACTGGTGTGGAGATTTCTGCACTTCTACTACGACTAGTGGTCCCTCGACCAGTATCACTCCAACCCGTGGTCCTCGAACAAGTACAACTTCAACAACCCGTGGGCCTGTGTTCACTACCACAACTCCTGGTTCTCTGACCACTAGCACTACGAGTGGTGGCCATGTGACTAGTACTACTACTTCTTCGCCAACTGGGCGGTGTTCGGGCGATTTCTGCGTCGCTGACAGGAAGGTGTTCCCCAGCCTTCTTCCATCTGGCCAGATAACTACCGAGTCCTTCAGTTTCACTGACTATGGTGTATGGTATCTAGCTGGCTACTCTAGTGATGATGGTATCCGTATGCTTTGGAGACTCGAATGCAACCAATGGTTACCTGTTGCTGAGAAGGCTCTCTCTAATATCGAGGCTTCAGGCAACGATATGTTCGTGTTCGGCATCAGCGAGGGTGACGTTGTTGTTTTCGATCCGGAGAGTTACAATGCTTATCGTACAATAGCTCTGGCGGATCCTTCTAAGGAATACACGGGAGTCACCTTTGATCAAGACTCGAATATTCTATATGTAACTGAGAAGGCTACTGGTCGGATTGCTCGGTTCATAGGTCAGGGGGGAGTGTGGACTCCAATTGACCCCTTGAGTGGTTCGGATGTTCTCATCGAGCCTACTATTTTGCGCTTCACACTCGATAAACTTTACGTTAGAGTGAATGGCGGCGTTGCCTATGCTACAATGGACGGGTCTGTGAATCCTCAGTGGTCTTTCGTTCCACTGGATATTCAAGGTGACCAGAGCTTTACTGCTGCTCCAGACGGTTTCCTCTACTACCGTAAGTCTATCGACTCGGTCTATCGTCTTCCATTGGATAATCTGATCGGCGCGGGTGAACTTTACGCTGGTGGATGCGGCTGTGGTCTAGCGCCAAATCAAGTGTGTACCTCGGGCAACGGCAATCTCGTGAACTTCATCCCACTGGTGGCGTTGTCATGCAAGACTACTCTGAAGAATCTGACTTCCG